CGGGGGCCTCGAGCCACCCCCCACCCCCAGACCGAACCCACCCAGGCCTCGCAGGGCGCGGGCTGCTGGTCGCCTACCTGGGTCCCCAGAGACGCGAGCGCCGGACCGGCGCGGCTGCGCTGTCCCCTCCGTGGGCTCTGCGCGGCGCCGGGGCTGGAGGCCCATGTCAGCGCCGGCGTCCGTTTCCCTCCGGCCCTCAGGCTCGCTGGGCGGTGAGCCGCTCGGACACTCCCCTTCCAGGCTCCTCCCGCGCCCTCCCTCCCGCGCCCTCGGCGCTGAAGTCACGGCGCCGCCTCAACCAATGGCGGCTGGGAACTCTCGCCCGGCCGCTCGGCCTCCTCGGTTCAAATCTGCGAGTCAGGCTGTCGGGGCTCCTCCAGGTGGGGCGGCCCGGGCGTGGAGGCCCACCGGGACCCGGGCCGGTGGGATCCCGAGGGCCCCAGCGGTGACCAGGAACCAGTACCCCCCCACCCTGCCCCCAACCTCCCGGGCCCGGCCCCGACGGGAGAAGGGAACCCGGGGTCTGCGTCCCCCGGGCCGTGGATTCGTCCCCGACCCTAACTGGAAACGAGACGGGCGGGAAGGAGCCGGCCCGCCAGCCCCGTAGAGGGTGTCAGAGGGGTTTGGGCGGGGTGACCTGGCTTCGATCGGCTTGCTTTCCCAAAGTTTGTGCCCTTTGCCTCCTGGGTATCCGCGGAGGCTAAGTTCTGCTGCAGATGGACCTCGAGGACGACCAACTCCTGAGTCCCAGAGAAGCAGGCCTTGGGCTCCTTCTTTGAGAAACGGCTTCCGTTTGTAAATGATCCTTACCAAAGTAATAAACGCCAATGGTGAGATATTCCACAGGAAAGGGGACGGGGCACAAACTGAGAATTCCCTTGCTGTTAGCAGCTCCCTGGGTTTTAAAGGAAGTCAGGCGAGGGGCGCCTGGCTGGGTCATTCGGTGGAACCTGCCACTCTTGATCTCGGGGTTGTAAGTTTGAGACCCAAGGTGGGTGAAGAGATTTACTTACAAATAAAAATCTTGAAAAAAACCAAAAAGTAAAGATAAAAAAATTAAAGCGAGTCAGGCAAAGGTGGTATAAACCACAGCTTAACCTTATCTGTCCAGAGAAAACTTAACCTGGTTCGCTGAGTCCCGGCACCCTGACCCCTTCTTCCCTGCAATTTTAACACATTATTTTGTCTTTTAGGGCTAGCTGTTTAGTAATTTGTTCTCCTTTTTACAGGTGTCTGGGGGTTTGGCCTTCCCAGTTAGATTACACGTCAATTAAGCATACCTCTAGGACAAAGTCCTCACCCTTTTGTAATTCTGCCCCTCCTTATCCAAATTCAGTGCTCTGCAAGGGAGGCTCCTTCCTCGAACTTTGAACAATCCAGTGGTTTGCCTTGGGGGCAAAGATGTGTAAAACCCAACCCTGCCTTCAGGATGCCCACAGCGGATGTAGGCGGTCCCTGGAAGGAGCTGAGTGCTTCTAGACTGTGATCTCAATCGCCTTGCTAGAACCCTACCTGGTCGGGAGGCTTGATTGAAAGACCGTGTTAATTTTCCCTGTGAATTTCTAGGGACCTTTACCTCCTAAGTATCTACTGAGGCTAAGTTTTGCTCTAACCTTTCAGACTATGGCGGCCTATGGATAACCAGAGGAAATTAGCAAAATGAGAAACTTGAAGCTTGAACATCTACCTTGACATTTCTGGCGAGCTCTAAGCCCCTGACTTTGGAGAGGGATTTGAGGTCTTAACTGCACCTTTGCTATAACTTGACCTATAAGCCTTTAGACCCCAGGCGCGTGTTTCTGCCTGTGGGAACTGCTGGGGCCTGCCCTGGGGGTTGGGCATACGTGATCCTTAAGCTGCGTGGGCCTGCCCTACCCCTGCTCCCCAGTGTGCCTACCCATCCCAAACTCACACCTCCCTGCTTTGTTGACGCTGGGCTCTGGGCATCTTAGTTCATATTATTTTGCCCCGGCCTTGAAGGTTCGTTACATTAGGTGGGTTAATCCTAGTTCCTTGTAGAGAGGTCACCTAGTCAGCTTTGCCATAAAGTATGACTCTGGGCCGGTCATTTAACTTTCCAGAATGATCGATGGTTTCCCAGCTCTATCCTGAGTCCCCTCACCATTTTCCCCGCACTGAGGTTAGCCAAGATGGTCCCGGTGGGCACCTCTGGGTGTCACCAGGGCCTGATGTCAGTACAGCTTGGGATGGAGCCTTGGTGATCTGAGGCCCTGCCCACCCCTGGCTATTCATGCCCACCCTGCTAGGCAGGGGCTCTTTCTTGCCTTGGTTCCCTGCTCTAGGGAACCACCTGGAGCCCTTTCACAGGGCCCCGGGGAACCTCTGCTGTGCAGCCTGGGAAAATCCCCAGGATACCAGGCTATATTGGCAGAGAGCCTGCAGTCAGGGTCAGGCCCTCTACCACTGTGGGGAAAAGTCTGCCTTTGGGGTGGGGGCTCTTTTGCCCCAGGCTCCAGGTGCATGAACCCCCTTCTGAGGGATTTAACCCACATCAGGGCTTTGGAGCAGCCAGGAATCCCAGAGAGTAAAACAGCAGTTCATTCCCACAGGCTCCTGGGGGCGGGCTGGTGTCCGACTGGTGGTGGATCTCCCGTGTGGGTTGGCATGCAGTACATTGGCCATGAATGAATGAAGAGAGTCCAGAGCCCTGTACCCCTCCCTTCCCCCGCTTGCAACCCCAGCCTCAAACCGAGCTCTGTTCGGTGAGCCCCTCAGTGGGCCCTTGCTGGGCCATCCACAGGGTCAGGCGTCCTCCCAGGACAGTAGTTCCCAGGGCTCAGGGGCTGAGGGAGACGCTGTGTCTCAGAGGTGCCCTGGCCTTCCTTGGCATGGGAGATGGACTGCTCACCAGGCTAGGTGAGGCGACAGTAGGGTTGAGCTGGACCTGAAGAAGGTGATGAGGTGGGCCAAAGGGTGGAGACAGAGCAGAGGGGCCATGGAATTTACTGGAAATGAGCCCAGATGTGGGGTCAGAACATCTGGGTTGTGTGACCTCGGAGGGGTCACTTAGTCTCTTTGAGTCCCGTCTGTAGGGAGGGCATGGTAACAATCAGGAGACAAACATGTGACCTTGCTTTGTGAACTGTCAAGTCCAACGTAAGGGACCCTGGTTTCTATTATTGTTGCTAAATCAGACTTTAGGCTTCTGGGTACCGTGGTCCCCTCCTCTATCCTTCTTCCAGGGAAAAAGACAGCACAGGCCCCCCCGCCTCACCCCACTTAGGGGTCCCGTCTGTCACTGTGCATCATCGTGTTATTAACACACTGCCCCTGACCACTGAGCTGGAACACTTCCATGAAGGGGGTTGATGATACTGAATATCTTGTTTATCTGGGAGGGAGAAAAGGATGGGCAAGAAAGATACAGTCAGGGTTCTGAGTTCCTCAGAAAATTAGCATAGACTTCAGCTAAAGATAGCGAGTCTCAGGGCGCCTGGGTGGCGCAGTCGGTTAAGCGTCCGACTTCAGCCAGGTCACGATCTCGCGGTCCGTGAGTTCGAGCCCCGCGTCAGGCTCTGGGCTGATGGCTCAGAGCCTGGAGCCTGTTTCCGATTCTGTGTCTCCCTCTCTCTCTGCCCCTCCCCCGTTCATGCTCTGTCTCTCTCTGTCCCAAAAATAAATAAATGTTGAAAAAAAAAAAAAAATTTAAAAAAAAAAGATAGCGAGTCTCAGAAGCGGGGACCCTGGAAAGAATGTTTTGTGTGGTCCCCAGATTTCTGAAGTCCAGAGCTTCGACTACCAGTGACCCCCAGGACGGGCAAGAAAGCCCAGCCTTGCCTGTCCGCAGAGGCCTCCTCCTGGTGCTGTAAGGCCCTGCAGGTCCGGATTGGGAACGCAGATCCCTGAGGCCAGACTATCTGGGTTCAGATCCCCACTGTCACTGTATGACCGGAAAGAAGTCACTTGGGCTCAGTTTGCTCATCTGTAAGTGGAGGGCACGTGGTTACCCACCTCAAGGAGTTAGCATGAGGCTGGTAGAAACTTCAAGCCAGAGTTCACCGTCAGGCTGGGGCCACCCAAGGGCCCATGATGTGGACGCTGGCCGGTCTCAAAATAAAGGGCTCGAGTTAGACTTTGTGGAACAAGTTTGTTCCCGAGCGTCCCCCCCTTGGGCACAGAGTGGGCCCATTCTTGTTAGTGTTTCCCAGAATTGAGCTAACAGAAAAAAAGAAAGAAAAAAAAAAGAATTAGCATTATCTGCAAGAGGCAGTCCTAGACTTCTGATAAAGGAGTCTCTCAGGCTTGGGTGGAGGTGGAGGGGTTCGCCCAGGGCTCTCTGTCATCCTCTCTGGGGAGGGGTGGGCAGAGACCCAGCTCTGCTGGAGGGCAGCCCCTGATAACCAGAAACCCTCCTGGGCCCCTGAAAAGATGGAAAGAAAAGCAACTGGGGTGAGAAAAGAGCTTTCGTCTGCGCTCAGAAAAGGCGTGTCTGCTCCCCAAGAGCCCAGATCAGAGGCAAATGTGGCCTAAGAGAGGCCCTTAGAAAAGGCAAGGTCGCTGTCACCTGTTGAGTACTTTGAGTTAAGAATTCTAGATCTCGGGCCAAGAAGTGGTTGCCCGTACTTCCATTTTCGAGATGAAAATCAGGGAAGGCTAAGTAGCCGGCCCGAGATTCCATTGCTAGTGTCCAGATCCTAGACTGAAAAGGACCCCACGCAGTCGAGCTCTGAAACCCACGGGTCCAGCCACAAAACCACAAGACAGCAGGAAAGGAGGCAGATCCCAGCCGAAGCGTGAGTGAGCTCGCTAACTGTACTTGGCCACAGCAGGCAAGGGAAGGGAGAATGGGTGCCATCTTCACCAAGCAGGCACCCTCCTTTTTCCCCCGGGGAAGGTTCTTCCTCGTCTCAAGGACTGACTCAAGACAGTTCTTGGGAGGCCCCAGCTGTATCTGCCTTTTCTGTCACCACCAGCCCACATCCACACCAAAGACCCCAATTAAATCCCTTCCTGGAGCTCAGTGCCTGGCCCAGGGCTGAAGAAAAGATGACGAGAGAGAGCCGAAGGCGTCACTTAGATCCTCACTGACCCAATGTGATGTGACACATCACCCCACATGTTCGAAGCCCTTAAAGGGACAGCTCCCTCAGAGCAGGAGGTGCTTGTGCCTGTACCTTTCATTGGAGCACTCTACTTCCTTCCCT